TACCCACTTAATATCTGTCTCCCCCTCAAAAGAAGAACCTGTGTGGGGTTCCCACTCTGCCCACAGCACCAAGTACAAATAGAGAAACATCAGTGACATTAGTTTGGGGAGAGTGTCAAAAAATGGTTGTTGAGTGAGTGAGTGAATGAAGAACGGAGTCTATCATTCATTAAAACTCTCAGGGCCTCCTCTGGAGCCAACACACAAAAAACAATCCTGGAGGTGTGTATATGCCGAGAAAGAAGGTAAGCGGAGCCAGCGGGTGCTGAGGAAAGAGCGCTAAATCCCTAGCGAGCCCAGGGGAATGATGAGATCCCTGCCTCAGGCCCCAGCCTCCTGGCTCACCACTGCCCAGCCTGTTCCCCAAAGCGATACCTTTCTCAGGGTTGGGGTCTTGCCCTGGAGAGTCCCCATCTGCCCCTGTGGCTGCCACCCCGGCCATGGCCCCCCCTGCTCAGAGCCCTGGAAGGCTGTCCCCAGGAGCTGCTCCCCTCCCCTCCCTCTCTCCCAGGCTCTCTGACTTCTGGCTGAGGGCAGACACCAGCAGATATGGGTGCGGCAGGGAGAGAGGTCAGGATGTAGATCCTCCGGGCCCTCTCCCTGCCCAGGTGCCCAGGTGCACTTTGGCAAAGGCTACAGGAGCCCTTGGCCAACCCCGCCTGCCAGGCGTCCCTCCCCCAGACTGCAGATCTAAAGGTTGGGGTTACAGCTCCCTCCCCTCCCCCCTCACAGCTCCCACCTGCAGGTCTCAGTGCTTCACCACCCCTTGCCTGTTCAACCCTGCTGCACCTTGTAAACAGTTCCTCCCCGATCAGTCTTCACTCACCTCTTCTCAGCGCGCCATCTTGTTTTTCTCAGAAGCAGATTCCAAAGAGACCCCGAGTTCTGCCCTTGAGCAGACTGGGAAGAGCGTTAAAGGCCCTCCCACCTGGCTTCCCGCGCCCTCCTGAACTCTCCGGTGTCGCAGTTCCCCTTCCATGGAGAGCAGGACAGCCCGGCTGCTAAAGAACAAGCCTGCTGGAGAAGCAGTGTGGGCCTCTCCAAACACCACACCCCGTCCTCCTTGCCTCCTCCTCAGGGCTCAGCTCCACTCCTCTGGTGGGGGAGGGGGGGCCATCTCTCAAGTTGGGGTGGGGGCTATTATAATTAGGATCGATGGCACCACACTGCTCTCCCCTGTGTTCCCCTTGTGACCTCATCACGTCCACTCTTAGCACCCCGCATGCTTCCTCCCCAGATCCTGGTGAGCAAAGTATCTATTTAAAATAGGCTGTACCTGTTCACACACCACACACACACACATTCACATACACTTTCACACATGTCCACACACACTTGTTCACATGTCTGTCTATACACATACACAAAGGCAGAGTCCACATTTGAAAAACACACCAAACCCTCACTTTTACCCTAGGCTTCAGTAAGGCCACTGTTTCTTAGAGCCAGCCGTCCCCAAGAACATACATTCCTGAGCCAGTGTGCCTCACCTAAGGCAGGGACAGAGGGACACAGCAGAGCCAGCATTTCGTAGAATCTCAAAACCGATCAACAGAAAAGCCCACTGAGGTCCATGAGCCCAGCGTGATCCAAGTGTTCCAGCAAACATGATTCACTGAGATGCTCAGTAAAAAATGAAATTCTGCGATCCAGGAAGTTTGGGAAACACAGCACACCACGTCATCCCCTCTTGGAGAATCACACTCTCCACTGGCAGAGCCAACTGCTCCAAGCCCTGAAGGAAAGGTACCTTTTAAAGGGCACTTAACTCGGCATTTCATCAGCTAGGTGATGTAGATGGATAGACAGACAGACAGACCCAGAGAGAAAGATTCTGTAGTTACGTAAACGCCACAGAACACACTTTTAAATAACATGGATCCAGACCAACCATTTTCATTCCATAAATGAAGAAATGGAGGCTCAGAAAGGGCTTTGCCCAAGGTCATGCCACCGGTAAAAGGCAAAGCTGGCACTGGAACCCAGGCCTCCTAACATGCAGGTCCAGGCTCTTTCCAACAGGCCTTCTTTCCTTTTTTGTTTAACTCTAAACCCCAGGATTTCTGACAATCAAAGAGATCGATGCTGCCTTCAGAATAAACGCTGGTGTTTGTGATCGCACTCAGACATCGCAGGGCTTCCCTCGCAGGCCTGCCCTCTGCTGAGCAAGGTGCCCTTTCCTGCATCCCAGGCTCCAGGCCCCCTGAGGCGATGGCAGAGCCCAGGGCAGAGGCCTGCAGGTGAGGGGGAGAGTGAGCCTGGCTCTGGGCACCTGGATCCGGCTACTCTGCTTGAACTGGGGAGGTAGGCCTCCTGATGGGTGTCCCCAGGTGGGCACATTTGCCAGCCCCGCCTCCCCCCAGGGAAAGCTGAGGCCTGACTTAGGCCTTGGGGCACCGCCTAGGCCTGTCACTGCTTCCATGAGGTTTGGCTGCTACAACCAGAGCTGCCTTCCCAGCCCCTCTCCCTCAGCCAGAGTCCTGAGTTCCCAGCCACAGCGACCTCTCCCGCACTGCACGCTCACGGCACAGATAGATGCCCATTACCCTCGGTGGACACCCAGCCCCACCCCCACCCCGCCACAGCATATCCTGTCTTCCCAGGCAGCCTTAATGCCTCCTGGGCGCAGGGCAGGCCCTCATCTCTGCTGACTCCCCAGGGACAAGTGCTGGGATCTGCAGGGCACACTCATGAATGGAACAGTGCCTCCAGGGTGCTTGGGGTTGATAGCAAGATGGAATTCCTGGTGAAGATCAGCAGCTTCAGACAGACAGAGAGTCATGGGGCGGAGCGGGCTCGGGGGACCCCAGGAAGCCACAGAACCAGTCTGCTTCTCTGCGTCTCTGTTCCCCTGACAGCAAAATATGGGAATTATGTGGGAGATGCCTCTGGCTCTAAGACTCTGATTCCATTCTCAAATCATAGGAGAAAGCCTCAGCCGCTTCATTACTCTCTCCTCCAGCCCTTTGGCACAGAGGAAATTGAACAAGGTCTTGCAGGCAGGACGGTGTGCTTGTGGCCGGGCTGCCCGTCCCCCAACTCAGGGTGCCTTATGCCAGTGAATCTGACAAGACACACTACGGACCCAAAAGCCAGTGGCTTTTGATACCCTGACCAAAGTCACACAAAATGGAAGATTCCACCACAAAGACAGGCCCAGATAATCAGGATCGGGTGTGGACAGGAAGCTGGAGGGCAACAGTCTCACCTGCTGATCTTTCAGCCGAAGTACCCTCCCCACCCCAGATCTTTGCAACTGTAGCGTGAGCCCTCGGGAGTGAGCACTGGTGCTCCCAGCATCCTAGCCTGGGCTCTGGCCCTCTCTCCCCTGCTCTCCCCAGGCCCCGTTCATCTCTGAGGCCTTTCTGCTGCTGGAATGCAGGGAGAGGGGAAATTGACACTAGAGGCTTGCCCTCTGTGGCACCAGTGCCCACACTTCTCCCTTTCCCAGGGAGCAGGGCCTCTGGGGATGAAGGCAAGACAAACGCTTCCCTGAAGGCAGCAGAGCAGAGAGTTAACAGCAAGCAGTGTTTGTATCTGCGGCTGCGTCTGGGATGCACAGCCCAGGTCCTGCAGTCCTGCCAGGCTGGCCTATTGTCTGGCACTGTTTGCCTTTGGGGCAATGGGTGCCTTGAGCCGGAAGGGAGAAAGAGGCCTCAGTAGGGGTGGGGAGCAGGGCACGCACCACACCAGGCAGCCTTGGTGCCAACGGTCATGGCTTGTGAAGCTCGGGGCAAGGGTCACTGGAGCCAAGTGCCTGCCCACCGTCCTGTCTTCAGGCTTTGATGACCCTGATGATTGTGGACACCTTCCCACCTCCCACAAAACCCCTCAGAACCATGTTTTTCCTTCTCCCAGGCCCCTCAAAGCCCAGATCACCTCTCAGGGCTCTGAGCCCTCCCACCCCTGCACACAGACCCTGGCCCCCACCGAAGAAGTTAATACTATAGAGATGTATGGGTACTGCCCTGGGGGAAGAGCTGGAGGAGAGCGGAAGACCTGCTCCAGGGCATCCAGGGCCGGTCTGCATGTGCGTTGTAGGTGGCTGGCCTTGCAAACCTGTCTTTCCCCAAACCGAGACCTGTCCTTGTGATTGCCCCTTAAACCCAGCCCTCCATCAGCGCTGACTGCACCTACCCAAGGACGACTCCACTCTCGGTCAGCTGCTTCCTACTGCATGTGCCCCAGAGCTGTGGGACCCCGAGCAAGTCACTTCCTCTCAGAAGACGAGGGGTTGGATTCCAGATCTCTACAGACCTTTCCAGCTTCAAAGTGCCATTATCTTAACCACACGGTTAAGACAGACCGTCTAGACCCTCCTAGACATCAGGACTGGAACTCGTTTGTACCACACGTGGTGCATATACCATACTATGGGCGTATACCACCTGTTGCGTATTATCACACTGTAGGGTGTGATTGATGCACATTTTGGAGTATACGGCACACTTTGTGGATGTACCATACTTTGGCAGATACACATACTTTGAGGGGTAACCCACTTTAGGGTATAAAATATTTTGCAGTATGTACTTACTTTATGTATATTTACACACTGAGGATGTATTCCATGCTCTGTGGGTATAGTACACCTTGTGTAGAGACCTCACTGCTGTGAGCAATCTGCAAAGTGTTATTGATGTAAGCCTGACAAGGCTCTGGTGTGAAGAGTAAAGACCCTGGAACCTCATCGTGCATTCCCACCGCTTGCTGTTAACCTTGAGCAAACCACTTGCCCTCTGAGACTCAGTTTCTTCACCTGTTAAGTGGGGATCATAACAATACCTACCTCATAGGTTTGGGGGAAAATTAAATGAAGCAAGAGCTTCTAACAGACTCAACATTGTGTCCAGCACAGGAGAAACACTTGGTAAATGGCAGCTTTGTTATTGCTTGCATTTTTAAAGGGGTTTTATAATGCATATGTATTTTTTTAATTTCAAATATATATAAAATCAGATGGTCCTCAAGTCTTAACACTTTTGAAAACTCAGATAACAGACAATTTAATTCATATTTATTTCACATTTGCTCTGTAAACTTTTTATTAAAAAAAAATCCGCTGACATTAGTTTTTCTTTAGTGAAATAAGAGTGCAGGCCTGAAAGAGTCTTTGTCTAAAACATGTGGAAACTTGAATGTAAACAAGGTCTCTGCCCTCCTCCCTAAACTCTGGGAGTTCAGCAATGACTTGAGCTCAACCAGAAAAAAAGGGAGGAAAAATGGACAACACTTTGATACGTAAGAGCTCTTGGGGCAGGAACTGTACAGTCTGGCAGGCCCATTTGTCTTTTCAAACTGTTTACCTTGGGCAAATTGTATCAGGTTTGCTTCTTCCACATAATTTCCACTTCTCTGTGTCTAAAAACAGCAGGTAAAAGATTTCGCACAGTCAGCACTTTGGGGGAGTGAGGCGTGCACATACATAAAAGATGGAAACATACATATACTTCAAGCAGTGGCCCCAGAGGAAAGGAGGGAGGGGACACTGGAAAGAGGTTTTAAAGTGAGGTACGGGGGCGAAGAATGCATCAGAGGATAATGGCTTTATACACAGGGCTGCTGCAAGGCAGAGTTTCATTTACTTCTTTCTTGGTCCATCATTGTAATATTTACATAGGAAAAGGCAATTATGCTGTTAGGCACAGGGGGAAAAGTGGACAGAAATCTTTCCCCCCTCAGGAAATCTCAAAGCAGGTCCAGTCCCAAGGGACAGTCACCAGTTGCTGGTGAAAAGGACACAGAGGGAGGTAATGACAGTAGAAAAGGGATCGAACTGCAAAGAGGCTTGCCCTGAACTAGACACCATCGTCTGCCTGGAGGGCATCTCCAACAGCCAGGATTCCGACCTCAAAAGCCAAAAGATATTGGGGACCACCCCCCAACCCCCATGTACTATCAAAAATAGTGTGTGTTTACAGGGGCTGGATGGGAGGGCGAGCAGGGCTGCCCTGAGCGTTTGTTTAAAAATAGAGTTGGGGGAGGGGAGAGCAATTAGCCAGGGCTGGGAAACCCCCATCCATTAACCTTTTGTGAGCCATGCCCGCTGGGATCAACTGCTTGCTCTGAACTGCCATGAGAACTGGACCTTGGGAGGTGAAAATACCTTTAGGAAACAATACTGCTTTGGGGAGGCCCAAGATCCAGGCAGATCGCTCCGCGTGAGGAGCGGTCCAGACAGCAATTGGGGACCCTCCCCCTTGTCAGGACTTTCTCTGGTAGGGGAGTACAGATGCCGGCGGGACGCCCGCAGAGCAACCCTCGGGCCAGGAAACTCAGAATAGGCTGGACCCCGGCTTCGGGGTGCTGGGGCTGCATAAACGCGCCCCTCGATCCCAGCTGCCTGCGGTGGGCGCGAGTCTGTTCGCGCGGCGCGGACTCCGCGCTCACACGATGCGCTTTCTGTCCCCTCGGCAGAGGATCTTCTTGAAGGCGCGGCGGAAGTCGTGATTGAAGATGGTGTAGATGACCGGGTTCAGCGAGCTGTTGCAGTAGCCGAACCAGAAGAAGAACTTGAAGAGCGTGCGCGGCACGGAGCAGCCGACGGCCGTGAGCGTGTAGGTGAAGAAGAAGGGGAACCAGCACACCACGAACACCCCGATGACCACCGCCAGCACGAAGGTGAAGCGCTTCTCCCGGTTTGCCGCCCGCGCCAGCGCGAC